GTCAACACGTAAAAACTAGACAAAGATAATATTCTTTCTGATCTTTTTCTCAGAGGGAGAACAGGCCGCTTTCCACCCACTGGCTATTTGCTGAAATACCCTCTTGCGAAAAAATGTCAACAGGTATTTTGAAATCTAATCTGAAATACTCAAATATTAGAAGTCTGATCCAGGATTTGGGCAGAAACTTATCTCAGAATAAAATGCATGTGAAGAAATTACGAAACCAGTTAACTAGATGTGAGGATATTTTGAACTAAATTATCAAAGAGATACTACAGTTGGTAACTGCTACTGACATTCCTACTGTAGATTCCTAGGGTTTGATATTCTACCAAATCATACCTGTAATGGGACTAATAAATTCTGCTTGTATTTAACCAAAGCAGCATTTCTCTTTGTGGAAACTGCATCATTAGGATTCATTAAAAGGCTGATCCTCAAAAGTGGTAGAAAATCACATTTAAAGTGCTGCTCAGCTTTTCCAGACCAAAGGAGTAAAAAGTGGAATACGTGTACACAGGTCGGTGAACTGCTCTGAACTTAAAATTTTTGGGGATACCTCAGTATATTTTGCAATGGTGAATAAGTGCAAAGACAGAGTGTACATATAATCTGGTTTTTGTTCTTCAGCTGGAAGAAACTGAGCTGCTGTTGGCTGCTCCAGGGATCACTCCTGAACTTCCAGTACTGAACTTCCAGAAAGTTTGAGTAACTCTGAACAAAGCCAGCTCTTCCAGAAAGGGAGAGCTGAATTTGTACGCAGAGGCTTGAACAGAGCCAGCTGACAGAACACAGAACAGGACAGGGTGCTCTGCCCTCGTCAGTGCTCACTGGCTGGCGTACCAACAGCAGATTTTATCAGCAGCAGCTTGATACTTGACTGATCAATGATTGAAAGAATGGATAACCTCTCTGCTAGAACTCTAACAAACAGAAATCATCAGGAATTTCTTAGAGGGTTTTGTTTGCTTGTTTGTTTGTTTGTTGGGTTTGGTTGTTTTTGTTTTTTGTTTTTTGTTTTTTTTTTTTATGACCTGTTAGTAAACCATTTGTTTAGTTTTCAGGTAAATGTAAAGAACATTTTGAGAATAATACTGTTCAAATGGAAAGCATCACAGGAAACGAGAAATACCCTCAAGTGAGACCAGATCCTCTCTCATTCCAAGCAGACTGCTGAATAACCTATTCGTTACACTAAAGTAGTGAAGCATAAATTATTTATGAGGAAACGAATGAGGTTTTCCTCATTCTGAGCTCATCATTACAAATTTGGCTCTGCAGCCACGGCTGTTTTTTCAGAAACCGAACAGCTGAGAAAAAGAGGCCAAGTAGAACACAATTCTGATTTCAATTGCAAAGAAAGCCAGCAGGTAAGAGCATTGGATATTCTTCATCGCTCTAGTGAAAACTCAGTCACTAAGTAAGGCAGAGCCCAAGCTGCAAGATATCGCAATCACTACAATTGAACATATTTTATCACCAAAATTAAACATACTCAATTATGTGAAAGAAAAGATGAGGACACAGGCTTAGTAGTGCAGAGCTATCAGTCCAAAGGGCCATCTAGGCAAAGCAAAAATAATAGCACTTAAGCATTTTCACATGCTTGTTTTCGAAGCAATAAAATTTTGTATGTTAATTTTATGGCAATAAACAAGAAGGAAGAAGAGGAAAAAATTTAATAGATACTGGGAAAAAAATTGAAAAAACTCATGGTGACAAAATGATAAGGCTTTAAGGCATGTGAGTGTAAGTTTGATATCTCAGCATAATTCTCAGGTGATATTGCTGATTAATAGCTTCTTTAAACAGACCTTGTCAACACAGAGAAGTTTTCTTGGAAAACTAATTACCAAACAAATTAAAATGAAAGAACGTTTCAGTTCACCGTGTGCTTCACTTTTTTTCAGACTGTGTTTCAGTCCCCTCAGGGACTGACCAAAGGAGAGGATGAACTAACTTTTCTCTATTGGTCTTCCATTGACATCGGGAGGACTGTTCAAATAGTCACATAGAATATGGTGTTCAGTGAGCAGCCAGAGATATACTCATTTACTCTGGTTGTTATCTGACCCATTATTTCAATGCCAATATACAAACTGATTTTATTTCTGTCTGATTTTATTTATGTCTGCAAGAAGACTGAGCTGATTCTGCTGCTAGTTATCTATATGGCTGTCAGCTAAAAGTAGTGTAAACCCACAGCTGAGATAATTTCCATCAATCTTAAACTGACACATTCTTAGCTGTCTATTTCTGGGTGCTGTCTACACAAACATTCCTAAGGAACAGATACACTTCATGACATTAGGCATACTGAAATTTTGGGGGAAAAAAGTTTCTAGAATCATAGAATATCCTGAGTTGGAAGGGACCTGTAAGGATCATTGAGTCCAGATCCTGGCCTCACACAGGGCCACCCAAAAATCAGACCAAAAGTTAACACATCTGTCTGTAAATGTTGTAGGTATGGGACTTTTAGCAGCACAGGTCATCTTATTTTTCGGTGTGCAAAAAAAACTACCCCCAAAACAGCAAGAAAAATAAAAGGACAATGTTTTTCTGGCCACATCTTGAATATTACCAACTGTTTTCAATCCTCAACCAAATGAGTAGAAACAGATTCTGTAGACAACAGTTTGCAAAACAAAGCCATCCCTGTGCATCTGCTAATGAAACCAACAGTTAAAAATATTACATCCCTAAAGGGAGCATTTTATTTCTCAAGAAACCTCTGGCCAATAGCAATGCAAACCTAACCTCATTCTTAGATACTTATCAAGATATCTGAGCAGTATTCTTTGGATCTGTATAGGTAGTTAATTATGCTTTTTACTCAGAGTACAGAGGCTGCACTGATCTGATGAACAGACCTCACTGTAGAATGTGCTGCTCTGTTTTGATGTCAGAAACAGCCTATGCCATGCAGACAAGCTGCTGACGTGTGACTGGTCAGCTGGAATTCTCTCTTTCTCTGAATGCTCTTACATTCCAGGTCAGCTTGGGCAAAACATTACAACTTATTTTTGGAAGTATGTGAAATAATCATTTGTTCAACCTTCAAGTTCAGATTGGTTTTGTGAATTTGTGAAAATTCATGTGTTCAGTCTTTATTGTGTACCAAGAATGAACGCCTATAAAAGAGAACGACAAAGCACTTACAAGAAGTTAATGATGTATTTAGAGAACTGTCATGTTCTAGATGAAATCTCCAATGTTTATTAATTGGACAACAAGCCTTACACAATATGATGTATCAACACATGAAGTCTGGCTCTCTCATACTGCTGGAGATGTAAAATAAAGGAAATTAGTGGCTGCTTTGGATCAAGTTCTAGGTACACTGCGGCCATTCATCAAGAAGAGACTTCTAAAGGCCTGTGGAAAATATTGAAGCATGTCAGGAAAAACCTCTAAGAACAACAGAGGAAGGATGTGGAAAATATTTTACAGCCTTGTCCTGCATTTAAATAGATACTTAAACAGCACATATTATGCTGGATTACGTGAAGAAATATTCTGTCTTCTATCAGTTACCGCTGAGTAAATTAAACCTACAATGAAGAGCTTAGAATAAACACTCAGATTTTGAAATCAAACAGAACATACTCATTGCAAATAATCATTTTACAAAGTAAGTGTATGGGCCTTTAAGTGGAAGAAAGAATTTTCTTCTTTCTAGTGTCCACCATTATTCAGCAGCTTAGAGACAAAAACTTAAGCATGCTCTAACTGGCATGGTTCATAGCAGTACCAGCCAGAGCCTAAAAAGCTGCAGCTGTGTTACATGGCAGACCCCAGCCTTGGCTTGTGCCGAGTTCCAGCCTCAGCAAGAACTCGGCCTTGTATGGTGTACTATTACAAGCAGATCCATCACACCCTGCTACTCACTAATTCCAGCCAGAGCAGGTAATTTCATACACTTGCACTCCAGCATCGATCATCACACCTCTGCCATTCCATCACAGCTATTTACCACCAACTGGACTGGTTCAGCTGCTGCCCCAGCTGTCTGGCTTCAAACACTCAGCATGTGAAACAAAAACCCAGCTCTGTCACAGAGCATATTATTTTCTCTGAAGAAGTGGCCGAACAAGGATGCAGCAGAGCCCACGGCAATCCCCAGGCTGCGGCTGCCACCTCCTGGACTCCTTGGGTAACCACTGCAGCCAGCCATCCTGCCGAGTAAGCAAAATTGCCTGAACAACTCTGTGATACCTTTTGGAGTTCTTTCAGTTTGGAGTAATTAGATTTACATTCAGTCATTAATTTTTCCTCGTAGCCAGGTTAGTAGCTTGTTGAGATTCTCCTTATGCTCATTTACACTTCCTTATCAATTGAAATTTATCTGAAATGGAAGTTCCCTAAAACTGAACATTCTTCCTACAAAGCCACTTCCCCGACTTCCTTTTCATCAACTCTTATTATTTTTTCCATCATTCATAGTCTTGGCTGATGTTGCAGTTCCAAATATAATAATTAAAAAATTATAATCTTGAGGCTTATGTTGCATTATTACTGTATCATATAGATTTCAAAACACACACATAATTAAAAGTTACCAATAATACTGGCTAAGCTAGAAAACAATATCAGGATAATGACTTTTTTTGATTGAAAAGAAAAAGGAGTAGAGAATTACTTACAAGAGACACAGTTGCCTTTGTTTGAATCATTAAACCTCTTATGAGTTACTGAGTGTTTACAACACAAGTCAGAGACTTTGAACCACCCTCCAACAATGAAGTACTACAGAAGACAGTCTTGAATTTCTTCATGCTATCCCAATACTTAGGAAAAATAAGCAAGAAAATGCTCAACAGCATGTCAGAGCTGATTTTTCGGATTTCTTTTCTCTTCTGCATTACCTAATAACATACTTGTTAAAAAAATATCTAACTTTACACAACTGTACAAAACTGGACTACTAAAAGCTGAAAACTGAAACAGGTGTCACCCTATTACAGTGCACTGATGAAGAGCCATAGAAACACAAGTCCACAGAATTTTTTATTAAAATAACACCAAGAAATTGATGCAGTGCAACAAAATTTCAACTCATCTTAAAAAAAAAAACAAAAAACAAAAAAACAAAAACAAAACAAAACAAAAAAAAAAACCCCACCAACTTTAATCCTTAAGCATGGAAACTGCATTCCAATCCTGACACGACTGACATAATGCAGAAACAGAAATGCTGTATCCAAGACAACGAAGTTAAAGATTGGCATGTTGGGCGAGGAACGTTCTTATTCTTTGTAAGAGTTCTTTCTTCACACTGTCTGGTACTAAGGCTGAAAAAAACAAGAAAGCAAGAAGTAAAAAACAAACAAACAAACAAACAAAGGAAAAACACACTAATGTTAACCAGGTTTCTTCTGGCCACAGTCAAGAAAATTGAAAAAGTCTTAGGGGAACAATTATTCAACAGTAAACAGGATATAGTGACCAGAAACTGGTTTGCTAATCCTGGGTACTTCTTCCTTTCACAAAATTAAAAGCAACAATCTCAGCCATGACGTAAGAGTAAGGATCTTCAGTAAGTCATTTTGAAGGCCTATTTTTTAAGAATGAACAAAGTTTCTCCCACTAACACCAAAGCTTATTAGAGAGTTCATGAACTACGTAAAGAAGACCACAGTATCTTAAGATTCCATATGTCCTGCATTTATATGCACTGTCCTTTGTTCTTTCATTCCAGTACCATTAATCCAGAAATTCCATTTAAAAGAGAACCAGAATTTTGAAACAACTCTGCCTCATACCCAATGTTTTCTTGGGAGCATTAAATCAATCATAAAGACAGATACAGACTCGTGACTAAATAACAATCTGTAGTAGTTTACACACACGCAGTTCATTACAAATGCTGAATAGCTGTTACTTAACTTACATGTTTTATTCAGAGCTAACATTCAGATATTAACATTTTTCCTTGTATCCAACATAGGCAGTTTCATAGTACTGCTTTCAAAATATTCTTGCAATACAGGTAGTTATGTTTATTAATGTATTATTATGTCTGTTTTTGTGCTTTCTTACCTCTACCTTTGGGAGTGATTTCTGCCACCAAATCATCAACAGTAACATGCTCTAATCCTTTTTCTTTAATGACATCTGGGGAAGACAAAATACATATTTGAAACCTTAACTCATTAATTAGAAGACAAACCTTGTGTGATTAAGACAAAAAGCAAGCACTCACAGATCATTAGAGAAGCCTTTAGCTCTTGACCTAGATTAGGTTATTAATTCACTTTTTCTACTGCATCGAACCGTGGATTAGATCTCCAATTCATAACATAGGTATAAGGATGGAAACCTACCACTACTGATATATCTGTCACCTCATAGCTTAAAATAAATTTTAGAAAGCTTAAGCTTAATCTGAACATTATTAATTGTGCATATTACTAGAAAGTTTAGTAGTTTACAATCTGGTCTGTTCATCTCATTGCTATGTAAACAATGTTTCTAAAGAGAAAGAAATGGAATTTGAAAAAGATTTTTCCTTCACAGAGGCAGTAATTATTTACAATTACTTTAAGCATTTTAATCAATATATTTCTATATATTCCAGCAAAGTTAAAAAGCAATTCTGGAAGAACAATATAAATAAAATAAATAAAAGCTATGCTTATGATATCCTGTATCTTTAACACATACTGGTATTTAAATAAACTGTTTATTTATACCGTATAGAATGCCACTGAAAAAAATGCAAAAGTTCATGCTGAAAATATGTCTCAGTTCAAAAGCATAAACCTAAAATAAATATTGTTTAAAGCAAGTTTTAACTGCATATCAGTATGCAGAACTGGAGTTTGATGTGGAGTTTGGACTGCTCCAGCACTTGAATGTCCTTTCTGTACTGTGATGCCCAAAACTGAACATAGTACTTGATGTGAGGCCTTGAGTGCTGAGTACAGGGGCAGGATGACTTCCCTAGTCCTGCTCACCACTCCATTCCTGATACAAGCCAGGATGCCATTGCCTTCTCGGTCACCTGGGCACTCTGCTGGCTCATATTCAGCCGACTGTCCATCAGTAAACCAAGGTTGCTTTCCATCAGGCAGCTTTCCAGCCACTCCTCCCCACTCCTGTATGTTGCCTGGGGCTGCTGTGACCAACATGCAGGACTTTCTAGACTGATCAGCAGTAAAAACAACGAAAGGAAAAAAAACCAAAACAAAAAACCAACCAACACTCTGACCTTTCTACTGGAGGTTATTATGCACTTTGTAGGGATAACTGAATTTTATTTGCTGTCTCAGCAGATGCTGTTACAGTTCTAAGTACTAACGTAAGCCCAACTACTTCAACTAACTTTACAACAGCAGATTATAAAGTGTACAGTTGAGAAGGTAGACAAACATTCCTTTCATTATCTGTACTATATAAATGGCTAATCTCTGGCAGTGGTCATCAGGCAGAAAACTGCAAGCGTTCATCATTTCAGCCTTCTTTGCAAATCCGTCTATGAAAGCAATCTAGCAAACACAGTCCTATAAATGTTTGGTTGATAGATCAAATCAGAATTAAAGTAAAAGCTAAATGGACACATTATTTGCATAAGTTATTTTAGTAATACTCTTGGAGGTTTAAATACTATTCTTAAAACAACAGTTTACAAGTCAGTAAATTGCAGTAATGAAAAACGGCTTTCTGAAAACTGAAGATTTAGGTGCCTAATGGTTCATCAGCTTGTTTTTCCTCATTTAGGTAGATTATTTTATTTTCATAATTGTTAAAAACTATTACAAATATACTCTTTTCTTTCCTGTATACAGATGACACAGTTCTCATACTTTTCTAAGCTGTGTACTACTCTCTGTTCTCCCTTTTCCTTTCTCCTTTTTTTATTCACCCGTAGCACAGAACTCATCTCCCTCTAAATAAAAAGCTGTATGGTCATGAATATTTAGTGTACCAATTCCAATACTTTTATAAGGAGCTTAATAAGTTTCAAACTAGAAGAAAGGTTCAAGATTTTTTTTTTCCCCTAAATATGGCAAGATGCTTTCTTGCACGTGAAACCAACTAACAGGGATCGTTTCCTCTTCCCTGAACATCATTTAAATTTACTGTTAGGCAGTAAAGCCTAAATGTAGAACCTTTACTTGGTCACAGCCACAGCTGCCCACAAAGGATGCTAGTTATTTGAGCATCATTACCTTTGCAATGTGCCTTCAACTGATCCTTCCAGCCGCATTCAATTAACTTGGCTCTCAGCAAATCTTTAAGGCTGTTAAGGCAATAAACAAACTCGTTAGGAACAGCAAACATCCCTAACAAGCTCAAATATGTTTCCACTGCTACTCATAGCAGAACTTCCAAGACAGCAGCAGAAATGGCTGAACTGCATTCAAAGTTCATCCTGAATTACTATGAATTTCAGTTTACCATGTATGGTAAACTGTGAAAAGGAGTTGATTTAGAAGCTAAGCCTGTGAATCACTGGAGGTTTTCAAGGAACACATGGCAATTGGTGACACTATTCAGTGGGCAGGACGGTGAGTTGGTGGTTAGGCTAGATGATCTTAGTGGCCTTTTCCAACCTTAATGATTGTATGAACTAAGTCAATTTAGTTGCAAACACCAACTTTCGAAGTCAAAATATTTTATTTCAAACCAGAGCTTCAAAATAAATAAATCTTCCCTCCTCTCTTCTCTGAAAGAAGAATTTGGTGCCATTTATGTTGTCCACTGTCTCTCCAATAGCGTTTTAATTTGTGTTGGGTAAGAAGGGATAGGGATCTTGCATCTTGGGGCAGCAAAGAAAAACAGTAGCACTTCTTCTTTTTACTTGAAAAAGTGTTTTGATATTTCAATCTCAAATTGGAAATGAGAAATCTGACTGATTTCACAACAGAAATCTAGATGTTAAAACAACAAGAAGAATCTTTTCTACTAAATTGTATCAATTGAACTAAAAAAAAAAAAAGCTGTAGTGCTTCCTAAAATTTATAAGCATAAGAAATAAGAATTTAAACTATAAATGGACAAGATGTACAACCACCTACTGCAGTGATACATGCTCACCATACATTGAAAGGGAGTACTGAAAGCAAACTAGAAAAGAAGCAGTACTGAAGAACAGAAGAAACAAGATGAAAGTAACATATCCACCCTTTTTCCTATGAGCTAGTATGCCAGCTTATCTTGTACCATCCTGAATTACCGTAGCAAAATTCTGCTTTTCAGAAGAGATGAAGTGTAGGAAGATGCTGCACCAGGTACTTATATACATATAAATACACAGTCTATGAAATGCATAGAAGACAAACTGCTGCGAGAAAGCAGAGTAATTACACAGGTAAATTTCACTGCTTTCAGGTATTTCTCAACTCAAGAAATCAGAGTGCTTAGTTTCTGATCAAGCTGGTTTGTAGTACAGCTTTTAACATCCTGTCAAAACTCTACAGTTAAACAGGCCCCAGCACCATCTCAAACAATGGCGTGCTTTGTTGAAGCTCTGTGAAGTCACCAAGGCAGCGGTTGCAGTGAGCAGGTAGCACAGAAACAAGTCAGTCTCCAAAAGGTTCCAGTAGGTACAGGGCTGCGTCGGGGCCTAGGAAAAAGTCTCCTACTTACACAGGTATAGAACAGTGAAGAAAATGCAGCTTTTGGGACACAGTGTTACAACTACACTTAAAGAAAAGAACTGGAAAGTCAAAAGCAGGCTAATGGTATCTGAATGCAGTGCAGGTAGACTGAGGAGACAACAAAAGGCTGAAAACTAGCTGCTGTACCACACCGTGCCATTCGCTCCTTTGTCTTTGCTGGGGACACACAGTGATTTGCACAACTGCCTTTTTATGCAATTCCCTGCGTATTTCATTCCTTAACAAAAGAAGGCACACAAAAAAACTTTAAAAGAAATGAATGGGTTGTCTCACTCTTTATCAGAACACAGCACAATGTAACTGAAGAAAAAAAAAAAAAGGGAGGAAAAGGAGGAAAGGGAGGGAGAGCAATTTGTGTACAAGGCAACAGTTCTCCAACACAACATACTGCATGGAAAAAGCCTTAGAGTTTCAGGCCAACCTCTCCCTGTCCATCATTTTAATCAGACCTTCTCCCTTAAATGGTAACAGTAGACTAAAACTCTTCAAAAGGTAACGCTGTCATAAAGTTTTATATAACACAGAGTATCTTGGCATTCAGACATTTGAGGACTTTGGAGCTGAACTGACCCACGCACCCTACACGTTTCCGACGCTGAGGGCCTGTTTCGGCACGGACTTACCGCTCTCGCTCTCCTGTTTCTATCAGCTTCTGGTTAATGGTGGCTCTCATCTGGGCATCTTTGTTCATTTTGCAAATCTCAGTTTTCCACCACCCTGCACGGAAGTCAGGCTGACCGAGACGAGCGGCGCCAAGAGCACTAAAATAAAGCGCAAGGCGCAGACCTACGCACGCGGGCAGCGCCGTCGGAAAGGAGCGCCGCGCTCAGCCCGCACAGCGCCGCCAGTCCCGGCAGCAGGAGGCGGCGCCGGCCCACGGCGCACAGCCCGCTCCGTCCTCTCGAACGCGGGCGCCGCCGGGAAATGCAGTCTCCGCCCGGCTCGGCCCGCGGCTCCCGGCTCGCGGCGGCGCTCAGCTCCGAACTACCGCTCCCGGCGTGCGCGCGGCTCTTCCCGCGGTGCTGCGCGGCGGTGTCGCGCGCTGCCCGCGTCCGGCATGGAGGGCGCCGCGCACTGCTCGCTGGAGACCAAGCGCCTGCTCCTGGACCCCAAGTTCGAGGGCTACAAGCTGTCCCTGGAGCCGCTGGCCTGCTACCAGCTGGAGCTGGACGCGGGTGAGGAGCGGGGCCGGTGATTTGGGGCGCTTCCGTGGCTCGACCCGATTTCTCGTTGCGGTTGAGCAGCGGCGCCTTCCTGCCGCACGAAGAGCCGAGCGGCGGCACGGCGCCACGCTGCAGCGGGCTGCCCGCCGAGCCGGGATCAGTGCGTGTGTGCAGCCGGCCTTCGGGTCGGGCATGCGCGGTTGGACCGCGGCGGCGGCCGGGGCGGTTCGGTGCGTGCTGTCTGGAATCAGACGTGTGTTAGAATTAGAGGCATACGCATGAAATTAATGCCTCACGCGATCCCCTGCATAAAAGCCCTTTGTCTTCCTTTGCTCGTAGTTCAGACGTGGATGCTCAGACTGTTCATGGCCTTGCTTTCTTTGCTGTGCGGTATCAGCGTGTGAGTTGCTGAGCTGTTAGTGCGATGATTCACTCAGTTCTCATTTCACCCAGAAGAACACTGACAGAATCACATGGGGTGCACGCCTAACTCCGTGCCCCGTAAGCTCTCTCAGCGTTGTGGCTTTGTTGGTGTGCGATGCGCAGGTCAGATGTAAGGTGCATGAAGTAGCCTTTTTTATAAGAGCACAGTGTAGTATGCAGCTCGGGCAGGCTGGTCTCTATATTCACTGGACGATACACCCGACTTCTGGGCTACCTGCTATGTGTTGCTGCAGATCTGTGTTCAGTACATTATTTTAATAGCAGGGCAGAAAGGTACACTGTGTGTGAGTTGTGTCTTAAAGGATGAGTGAGTGAAGATGAGGTGATACCATTGTATACTGGGAAGTGTAATGAGAGTAACATTTTGTTATGTAGTGTAACATTGCCCTTTGTCACGATGTTGTTCTTACTGTGATGTTTTGTGTGTAAGGTGATCAAGGATGCTTTGTGGTTCTCAGATATGTGTACTGCATACCTGTTTTAAATTGAGGACTCAATATTTTCGTTGAAGAGTTTGAATTATGGAGCTTCTAATGCCTCTAGTCCATTCAGGTATTTGGCATAACAGTTACAGTAACCCTTGTGGTATAAATTTGATGTATATCTGTTCTCTTTTCTTGGTCTTCTTACTATAACACGGAGATCCAGACTCCAGTCCTTACTTGCCAGTCCGACTAAATATAATACCAAATTGCTTATTCTGTTCTCTGCTTTTGTGTATATGCACTTATTTTTCTTTTTTGTTTTTCTTTTGATTACTAATGTGAAATATAAACCAAACTAAGCCCTCAGTCAGTCTTCTAGATGACTTTTTTTTGCTGTGTTTCAACCTGTCTTTGGGCCATACTGATGGCTCACTCTCTCTGCTGTTTTTCTGCTTACTTCAGGGCACTTTCCTTTTAGTGCAGAGATAGTCTGTACCTGAACTTTGTGTTTTCTGCTATCAATGGTCTGCATTTATGTTAGATTGATGGCTTGCTTCCATACTTTGACTTGCATCTTGGGCAGAAGTTATGGGTTGAGCTACCTGTAAAACCAAATGAGATAAGAATTGACGCATGAAATTGATGCAGATCTACATTATTGGAAAAGGAGAATGTGCAGCTGCTGGACACCTTATGCTGGCTATCACACTCATGTGGACTACAGCAGCCTTCATTTTCTGACTGCTATATAAAGCTTAGTATTCAGTGCTAATTTGTCTGCAACTGTCAAACTGTGGTTGCCGTGAATTTGCTAGTCAAATGTGCAAGTGAAGCAGAAAGAAATTTCTAATAGCTTTCTATTTATTTATTGGATCTGATAGTGGAGAACAAGTTCATAGTGAATATCTTAAATTATAATGGTGGAAAAGAATGGTGAAATTCTGTTATTATACACTCCTTTTTAGATGCTGTAATTAGCTTGTTCTTTGCCCATTTGTTGCTTGGTTGCTCCCCATTCTGTCCCAATTCTCCTGAACTTCCACAAACATTTTTCTGATCTCTCATCCTGGTACTTCAACTAGTGATGAGTCCCACGGTATTACTGCTTTAATACCCAGCTCTTCACCCTAAACGTTGTATGTATTTCTCTTTCTTTTCTTTAGTTTTTCTCCTTATTTTCCTTAGTTGCTGATATTTAGGTTTAGGTCTTAGGCCTTATATAACTGTTCTTGTGTTGTACTTTAATTTCTCGAGAAGGAAAAAAATGATGTATAGGTATATAACTACATTAATGAAGATGGTTCCTACAGCAGGCACAAGTCAGCTTACAAGCTGTTTTGACAGTGATGTTCTCACAAATGCCTCACCAGTTTTTGGGTATTGTTTGATTTTTAGGTTCACTTGAGTGTGCAATAGATGCCATGTATGTTCATATCTGTGTTAGTAATTTGATCCAGCGAAAATACTTCATGAAATGGTATCTGAAAGGAAAGCATGCTTGTTTTCAGCAAGCTGTGTGCTTATTAGAAGTAAACTTCTGTGTTCAGTCTATTAACACCTGCTACAGTATGCTAAGAAAGTCTTGTACTTTTGGTTAGCAACAAAATGATGCTGCCATTAACAGTGAAAACATGCTTCCTCGGAGAAAACTGATTCTGAGATAGAACGATCTGTGTGTGCTGACCACTGGTACTAGAAAATAAATTCAGGGACTGTCTTTCGCTAGTAAAGAGTGTACATGAAATACTAAATTCCTTCCACTGGGTGGCATTGCAAAACAAAATATGATATAAAGGTCCCAAAATAATGTGTTGATAAAATTAGTTTACATATTTTACAGTATTTTGAAGTCACTGTGATGTGTTCAGTAGAACATATGAAAATGCAGAGTTATTATTTCACGCATTTTCCACTTTTTTTTCAAGTTCTACTGATTATAGAATCATAGAACTGCTCAGGTTAGAAAAGACCTTAAAGATCAACAAGTCCAACCACAGCCTAACCATGCTACCCAAACTCTAACAACCCTCTGCTAAATCATGTCCCTGAGCGCCACATCCAAGTGTTTTTAAACACATCCAGGGATGGTGACTCAACCACCTCCTTGGGGAGCCTATTCCAGTGCTTAGCAACCCTTTCAGTAAAGAAGTTTTTCCTGCTATCCAACCTAAACTTACCCTGGTGCAACTTGAGGCCATTTCCCCTTGTCCTGTCACCTGTCAGCAGTGAGAAGAGACCAACCCCGCTCTCGCTGTAAGCACGCTTCAGATATTAGAAGAGAGCAACACGGTCTCTTCTCAGCCTTCTTTTCCCCAGGCTAAACAGCCCAGTTCCTTCAGTCTCTCCTCATAGGGCATATTCTCCAAGCCCTTCACAAGCCCTGTTGCCCTTCTTTGGATTGCTCCAGCACCTCAATGTCCTTTCTGTACTGAGATGCCCAAAACTGAACATAAAACTCAAGGTGAGGCCTTGAGTGCTGGGCAGGATAATAATAAGATCAGATTACGCTAGGGATATTTTGTTCCTTTCATTGATTCTTATGAATTGCTTAGTACATTTTCCTTTTGTTTTTAAGTAGATTTGGTATTAGTGAAAATCTTGGCTTAATTAGCTGGGAAATATTTTGAGTCAAATTAATTATTTTTTCAGTCATGGAGCTGGTGACCTACAATTCTAGACAAGTGACATAATTTTGCTAGTCTGAAATACCACACCTCACTGCAGTTGTTGGGTAATAATACTGAAAGCTGAGATTTAATTTATATATACATTCCTTCTCTTTGCTGGTATGGCAGAGTATGAATTAATGTTCTTTGGTTTCTGTAGTGCATATTTGTTTATGAGAAACTGGAATAAGACTGTGTATTATTCTGTAGGAGAAGCTGTCATAAATTGCTGCTTGTTAGTTGAACTCAAAAAGTTGGAGCTATTGAATTAGTCTGTCCTAGATTCAGTTCCTTTTTTAAAAACAAGCGAAAAAACTTTTGTGTGAATAAGGTGATTTTCTCATTAAGTATTTCTCTTTTTTTCTTCTCATTTTATTAGCTTCTATTTTGCCAAATAGAACCCTTAATTAATTTTTCACATTTTTTCCAAGGACCATCAAGAAGACTTGAACTGGGAAGGCTGCAGAAAGGAAGGAATGTAACTCTATCATAGTGTAAAATCTTCTATAACTGTCTGAGCGCAAGATATGTGAAGCAGATGGCATTTGTGCACAGATTTTACTTGATCACAGAATGAGCCTCAATTAATCTAATGATTTCTTGGCAGAAATATGTATATACAGGATACATTCTGTAAGCTGTTGATAACCATATTTGAAGTGTTATGTGGAAATCCAGTACACATTTGTTTGCTTTCCAGGTTTAAAATCACATGTGGTATAGTTTCTGACTTATGAACATATACTGACATATACTTATGAAGAGTTAATTGCATAATTCATCTTAAGAGATTTGGATCTCTTTGTACCAACTCCTATTATGCAGGGCTTGTCAGAATAACCGGCTGGAAAACTCAAGGACAGGGACTTTGTTCATGCTTTTTCATTCCTTATAGAGTTTATAATCCTACAGCTAAGCCATGGTGTATTGTTCCAAAAAAATTTCTTGGAAAGTTCTGAATTGCTTTAGGAAGCAGCCAGTTTTAACTGTTTTCAATATTTATATATATTTTAGTTAAAATTCTACTAGCAGCAATGTGCCTGGGGGGAGGGAAGGGTAGAAAACAAAATAAGACAACCTTAGCTTTTCTGTGTTGAAAACACTTGCATGTTTCAGCATGTGAATTGTAGTCCCTGACTATAAGTATACCTGCCTATGCAGAAAGGAAATTAGATGTACTTGATTTCACTGGAAATCTTGGATTATATTTGTTTTTGTCTTTAATTGTTTGCAGAACATTCACATTGCCTTTCATCTTGTTAGGAAAATATCTGTGGTAAAGACTGTTTGTCCAAACAGTTTTAAAACACATAACACAACTTTTTAATTTCTTTTATAATGTAATTTACTGTAAAATATTCTAATTAGTTAAAGTAGAAACTGGAATGGGTAGCATCTTTCACATTATGGCAGGTATATTTTCTTAACTCTTTTTTTTTTTTTTTTAACATTGTAGCTTTTTTCTTCTAGCCATGTCTTAGGAAAGAGTAATTATTAATTGCAGAGATGCTGAAATCTCTCCACTGTGGTGAATATGAATAATGAGTTGAGTTGAGTGGAATTAATGCTCTTGGTTTGCAAACATCAACAATGATTAGGAGACTAATTGCTAATTATGCCATCATTTTGCAAACATTTTATACAGTATGACTGGAATATTTATTCTTAATTAATCAGACAGTTGTCTTGCATAGTTTTCTACGACCCCTGTTAATAGCCAGTGTCTCTAATGGGATCAGTTTTGAGCCCATAGTGATTATCTGATTGGTGATATGTGTTGTGATAGCTATTCAGTGGCACTCATTGTTTTGGAAAATGAACTACAGTTTGAAGTAATCATTGCAATAAGTAGAATGAAATACTGCTTCTTGAGTAGGTTTTAAATATATGCTAAAGAAAGGTGTAAGGAGTCCAAGGTGAGGACTTCTGGATAGAGTTGTGAATGGTTCCAGCGAACATGATGTGAAGATTACTTTGCTGTGTTTCTGAGCAGAAAAAGAAAAATTTGGAAGTTGTAAAAGTGGTAATTAAAATAACTAATATGGCCTTAAAATCACAGAATTGTTTCAGTTGGAAGGGAGGCTTAAAGTCATCTAGTTCAACTCCCGTGCAATGAACAGGGGCACCTATAGCTCAGAGCCACATCCAGCCAATGTCTCCTAGGTCAGGGCATCCACTGTCTCTCTGGGCAACCTCTTTCAGTGATCACCAGCCTTACTGTAGAAGATTTCTCTCTTATATCCAAAAACCTTCTTCCTTATATCCTTCTCATTGCTTTGTTAATCTCCCTTTACTGTGGGTCTGAAGCTTACTCATCATGGGCAGACAGTTTACTTGTAAGTTTCTGAAGGATTTTTCTTGTTATGTCAAGTTTGAAATAAACTTCTTAGAGAGAAACTACGGGTCCTGGGATGTCTGTAGTGGAGACTGAGTAGTGCCAGTCTGTTGGAGACCGTTTTAGAAGGATACACTAGATCTTTGCCACTGTCTTCACTTGAGCTTGGAGATTTTCTGTATTTTGAGATGTTGAAACTACTCAGTCTCTGAATAGATGTGGAGAAGGAAGAAGGAATTGCAGCTAATTTAAATAACTTGCTTAGTTTTATGCAGATAATTCCAGCTAAGATTACTGCTAGCTGTGGAGATGTTTTCAGTTTGCTCAAGTGGGTGGCTGTAAGTAGCACGCTGCCTATCCTGAAGAAGGTACTATTATTAGTGAACAGCCGTTCTTTGCACACTCCTTCAGATAGAGAAAACTTGCATTGAAATTTTGATGGTATCTTGGAGATTGCTGTAGATTTCTTCAGCATCATTGTAGGTGCTAGGAACATACTTTTTCAGTAATGACCATGCACTAATTATGTTTAATAGTGTCTTAATTGTTTGCTTTGCAGTTGCTGATAGCATGATTCAGAGTTCAAGATTATGAAATTCACGTAGTTAGAAGGTATTTCTTTTGTCCATTGTTTGCTTAGACTTATGGTTGAGCAGAATTATTTTGTTTTCTTTAGTACAGTATATGTATCAGGAACGTTTTGTAGTCTTTACAAGTAGGCTTAAAAGTAGATTTTACAAGGTTCTTGCTTTGTGCTTTCATTTTTGTGAGGGCATTTAATAAAGTAGAGAGACCTCAACAGATGTTGGGAAGAGTCAGTGTAGGTGACTGTAAATGGTAATGGTTATTACGTTACTGCAGTGAGTGATTGTGGTGCCTTTCAGTGTGCAGGACCTGCTTTCCAAGTTCATAGTGATACTGTTTGTTGTTTGACTACATATGCATAATATGTTTTCCCTCAAATAAACTAGGCCTACGGGCTATAGACGGATGAATTATTTTAAAATTATTAATTTAAGTGTTAACTTATTAAATTATATTCAGAAATATTGTTTAAGTAATTTCTCTCTCTTTTCATCTTCCAGCTGTAGCAGAAGTGAAGCTTCGTGATGATCAATATACCCTTGACCACATGCGTGCTTTTGGCATGTATAATTATCTTCACCTTGACTCCTGGTACCAGGATAATGTTTACTACATTGACCAATTTGGAAGGGTTATGAACTTGTCAGTGACTCTGGTAAGCAGAAACTTATTTTTAGAATAACTGAATTTGAATAGGTGTGGATTGATAAAGTAGAAAACAGATCAAGGAGATTCCAGATGCAAAACTGGAAGGGAAGCTACTGCCAGGAGGAGAGGTAGATTGACAAAAATGGGGTTTGCTAGGGGGATGAAAAGATTTTAAATGAAAATTTCTGAAATTTTTCATTAATAGAAGTTTACTAGTATTGCACTGTATTAATACTACATGTTATTCCTTCATGGGGAGGATAAACATATGGTCTCAAGCTGAAGAAAAGAGCAGGTACTTCTTATGCAATTGCCAGAGTTTTCTCAGCTATTTTGTTTGATGTTTGCTAATTTGAAAATCCAATAATTGTAGATAGAGAAAAGCTATGTGATTTAGAATTATAAATGAAAGCACATGTAGACCAATAGTGTAATCTGTGTATGGCTGGATGGAGGCCAAAAGCACTTGTGTCCCTGGGCAAATTTGAAATAGAGAATAAGCTAGACCAAGTCAGAAAAACATGGCAGTTCTCTGCTTTTATACTGATAACATTGACTGTCTTACACAGTCAGTTTTCTTGAGGCACTTGAATGCCTAAGCGCCCTGATTCCACTGCAGAGCCGTTCTTTCTTTTCGAGCTGAGAAAACATGGCTGCATGGATACTGTCTTTCTGATATATGCAGTTGTAGTCCTTGCTTGTTAAGGAACAGAAGACTTATCCGTGGCAATTTTACAGCTATCACAATGTCTTCTTAGCTGAATTTGTAATTTAGAATAAGATTAATTCACTGATGATTTTGACTTGTACCCTATTGAGTAATAAAGGTGTACTCACAGTTTTTTACCAATAAGTATGTTTTTGTTGTTGTTGTTTTCGTGATGATTTGACTCAATCCTTCTGAATCAAATACATCTTCATCTATCAAGAATGGAAAGTAATCCAGAATTGTATATTAGCTAATTTGAATAACAGTACTTCATTTATAACCAGTTACTAGTCTCCCTGAAGACTTTCAAGGCAAGGCTGGATCAAGCCCTGGGCAACCTGATGTAGCTGTGTTGTCCCTGATCATTGCAGGGGAATCAATTTAGATGGCCCTCAAAGGTCCCTTCTAGCTCTAAGTATTCCATGATTCTATGATTCTATTAGAATTCTATGTTGAGAAAGGTAATAACATGTAGATGCTTCCCAAGATAGTTCTATCACTAACTGATTCAAGGCAGCTGTTAGATTTTTATTTTCAAGAGAAAATTTTTTCTGGAATGGACTGCCCAGGGAGGTGGTGGAATCACCGACCCTGGGGGTGTTCAAGGAAAGACTGGATGTTGTGTTGAGGGACATGGTTTAGTAGGAGCTATTGGGAATAGGTGAACGGTTGGACTGGGTGATCTTTTAGGTCTTTTCCAACCTTGGTGATTCTATGATTCTATGATTCTATGAAAAATTTTCAAGAAAGTTAAATTTTGTTGATGCACTATTGTGCTACCAGAATGTCAAGTAAATGGCTGCCATGTTGTGTCCTAATCTGCAGTACGGTGCTGTTTTGCAGAATAAATGTCTTTGCACACATATAAAAAGGAATTTCTGTTCAGAAACATTAACAAAGCTTCTCTTCTCAAAAGTGCCTGTGCGTATATTAGTGAAATCTATGTTATAAATAATGTTGTTTTAAGTAAGTACAGTTTACAAGTTAACAGAAGGCACTATTGTACTGAACTCTCTTTAGCTGATGATGAAGCAGGTTAATATGCTTATCCCAAATCCAAACTGAAAGGTGTTTGTTTTTTTTTTTTTAACAAGTAACTTCAAATAGTTCTGATACCTATTTTTCCTGCAAGTTTGATTTTTGTTTGGAGATATGTTGCAGTTATACTTAAATGACAAATTCACCTTGCAACTTTGGTGTTTAAGAAGATATCATCTGTTAATGTTATGTTGTGATGCCCAAAACTGCACTCAGTGGTTGAGGTGAGGTCGCACCATCACAGAGCAGAATGGAACAATCCCTTCTCTTGCCTGGCTGGCAGTGCTGGGCACGATGCACCCCAGGGCATGGTTGGTCCTTTTGGCTGCCAGGGCACACTGCTGATTTGTATTCAACTTCAGTCAACCAGAACTCCCAAATCCCTTGCCATTGGGCTGCTCTCCTGCTTCTCATTCCCCATCCTTTACAAAGTCAGGTTTGCTCTCTTCCAGGCACAGAATCTGGCACTTGCCCTTGTTCAGCTTCATTCAGTTGATGATTGCCCAGCTTTCTAATTTGTCAGCAGCTCTCTGCAAGGCCTGTTTACTCTCAAGTGTCAACAGTTCCTCCCATTTTATCTGCAGACTCAATACTAGTGAGCATCAAAAGGAAGGTTATTGTAAGGGCATTTTCTTTCTTTCCTTTTAGGTGGGAGGCTTTGTGATATGAAGACTTTTTTTAATTAACGTTTCCAGGATTGTTGACTCCTGTCACTCCTCTTTAGTGTTGATAAATCTAATGTGGGCTTTAGAAGATTAAGTGATTGACAGTTGATAGTTTTTTAAAACAAAATTACATCCATAACTAATTGAAGCTTACTGTTATGATTCACTTGAAGGCTGTCAGAAGTGTGGTCTTCTGCAATGTTGCATAGCATATCCCTGTAATTCATAGTTCCGGGCCTGAAGCTTTTTCTTTCCGCAATTTGCATTCTTCATTCCTGTTCACAGTAATTATACAACTTGTTACAGTGGAATGCTTTTATTTCAGAAGGTACTGCCTTTCAGTAAAACCTTAAGAAATTCTAGTAGAAGATGAGGATGTCGAAAGTGCTTGGGTGTGGAGTGTGTTTTTTCTTTCTTTCTTTATAATTCTTTCATTCTCCCTTCCTGAATGGGTTCTAAATTAGGTGAATAATTGAAGGGTTGCAGCGATGCAACTGAATCTACAGAGTGATCCTGAATGCTACTAGTAATTATAAATCTAATTTTCATCTTTTCTGTTGCAGATTTTCTGAATTGCCCTTGTGCCTTTTCGTAGGGAACAGTAATCTCTAATACAAATTCAAGTAGGCCCAAAAGACAATCAGGCTGTTTGTCATCTGATCTTTTTTACTGATGCTTATTAACATGGTACTTACCCAAATCCAATTTATCTTGCCTAACTTTGAACATGTTCTAGCTGCATATCTGATTTTAATAACATTTGGAAAATATGATAGATTTGAAATTGTCTCTAATATGATAGTCTCAAAAAAAAAAAAAGGATATGTCATGCTTGCATGCACAAACGTGCTCTTTCTGTGTTACATATATGTGAACAAGTTGAATAAGAAAGAGGGCTGAAGTTTGTTTTAGTTTAGAAGCCCTTGTAAATGCACTTTTTGAGTACAATTCTATGGCTTTTATTTCACTTCAGGTCTCCAGGTTCTTATTGGGAGTAAAATTGTGTGAGGTGAATGATAAATTATACAGGAATGTTAGCAGAAAAGAAGTAAAAGTTTTTTAAATGCAAAATGTAAATTAGTACTGTGAATTTAAAGGAAAAAAAAAAAAAAAAAGGTGTTGAAGTACCAATTATAAAATACTTATGTTTTCAGTAAACAGATTGAATACTAAAATTCTACCACCTTTTCCTCATATGTGGAAGTGATGCTTGCCTACCTATGTTTTTCCCAATAGGCTCAATTATGTGAACTGGTGAATTGCTGTTGAGGTTTGTTGTTCATTTTTCTGCAATGGTGAATTTGATTAGAACTTCATGGTAATGGTAGTGGGAGCACGGTTGGACTAGATGATCTTGTAGGTCCCTTCCAACCTTGTGATTCTATGATTCATAAAGTGACTCTGCTTATAGGACACTGCTCTGCAAAAGCCAAGAGAAGTTTTCAGGCTACCTACAGATTTGACAGCTTACGATGATCGCCTTTGTGCCTCAATATACTTCTCGTCTTCCACATGGGTTACCATTTCTGATGGAACAGGAAGACTATATTTAATTAAGTCAGGCAAACGTGGAAACAGTGCATCGGAAAAGTGGGAGGTAAGTCTTAAAATAACACGCTAAAGAATTGTACATTTACCAAATAATTATTTCTCCTGCATTTAATATGAGAATCGCCCATATAATGTTATTAAAAAAAATTAAGCTTTCAATCTTAACTCTGTGGCATTGATAAAGTATTGTGTCCAAGCATAAAGATCATGTGAATTATTTCTTTATGTGAAAAAAAATCTGTAAAATTCAAATGGTTGAATGGAAACAGCCTTTTGACTGAAAAAGAATCTGTCTAAACAGATTCGCTAAGCAGAGCGAGTGTTTCTAAATAGGTGACTCCACACCTGTCAAACTGAACTTCTTATGAGAACCATTTTCTCCTTCCCTTCTCTATTTTTATGGGTCAGCCTAGGTTTTCCTTCCACTATCACTTATTCTTAATTATTTCCTCTGACCTGTGGAGTAATAAATATTTTTTAAAATGCCTGAAATTACTGTCAATCAAGCTAAAGCTAATTTTCGTTTTAAGTTAGGGAGCTTCTAGATTGCTTGTGCTGATGTAATTGCACTTGAAATGTTCAACATTTAATTTATCCTGTCTTAAAAGTGTGTCCACAGTGACTAGAATAAAATTTAAAGAAAACTGATGATTAAAAAGCTTTTATAGTTAACCCCGAAGGCTTTATGCAGAGTAGGTATAATCTAAATTGTAATATTTCCACATCTCTGGGAGAGAAAATTTTGATGCTGTACACTTAGCTCTGGAAAATTATTGGTGTTTGGTATTTTTTATTTAACTTGGTGGTTGTAATATTTCTCATTATTAAATAGTTTACAAAATCATTTATTTTAAACCATCTTGAGCTTCAGCTACTATAAGTTTTGGTCTATTATTTCTCTTCATTTCTGAAAGATGAATTTGATATTAAATTACCACATTTTTCATGCAACTTTTTAATTAGAGGACAGTTTTCTACACAGTCAAGGAGTTTTTAATATTGGCAGGAAGTCATGTGTATACCTGAAGTGGAGGATTTCAGCATGGTGGAGCAGCTCCTTCCCCTGTACAGTTTGAGAGTTCAGTCAAAAGGAAGCTGATTACCCTATGCTTCATTGCAGACATTTTTGTAGAGTTTTGTGCTTTAACTAATGGAGCATTTAAATCATTCTATAATATAGACAATAATAAAAATACTTCAGAACACTTTCTTGATAGCCAGGGGAGGAAGTACCAGAAATACATAGAATAGTTCTGTTAGAAGAGAGCTTCAGGGAACATCTAGTCTAACTCCACTAGCACTTCAGAGCTAACCAAAAGTTGATGTGATTTGTGGCAAGCAAATTTTGATTGTTTAATGTTCATTGAAGCCTTTCACTAATTTTTGGGTCTTTTAACTTTAACTGACTAACCTTTTACCACCATTTTGTCTTCCAGATTGTGTTTAATGAAGAACTAGGCAGTCCATTTATTATAGTACACAGTGTTTCATATGTAAAATCTGATAAACATTCAGTAGCCGTGCTGCTGCTTAGGGTAGAAAAAGATGAGTTGGACACAAAAGGAAGTGGATTTCATATTACTTTGGAATGGGTTACACTTGTGGAGATGAGCAAAGCGGGTAAGTGTTCTAAATTTGTGTTATTGGTGGGTAAAGGAAAAAAAAACTTAAACCTAAACAAAACCAAAAAAACACTGCAAAAGAAAAACAACGATTATGTTTTCATTCATTGCTTTAAATGTTGATTGTTCCTCAATTTCTGATGTTTGTGTCCCAACAAAACTGTTATCAGATTTTAAATTCATTTTGAGTTCAAGTTCTCACTTGTAGACCTACAGTGTGACAAACATTTGGAAGACAGGAAGGGATAAACTTCTGCATGTGTGTAGTTAAGGTAATTAGAAAACAAGCTAAGAATGATACTTTGTGACATTATGAGATGAAATTCCCATTTAGCTTTGTCTAGTAAAATCTAAGTTCAAAACTATTTCTAATTAATACCTTCTGTACTTTTCAAAATGTTGTATGAGTGGTTAATTGTACAATGTAGACTTACTTGATTTGGTCATCTGTCTAATCTGAGGTCATCTGTTGATGCAGGTTCCCCAGCTGCCTGTAGTCCAGTAACCATATAGATGAAATCTTGCTCTGCCTTGGATTAGAATGGCTATATCTATTCTACTAATAGCTCCTTGCTTACACTTTTTAGAACAGAGGAGGAGACTTTAACTGAACCAGAACTGAACAAGGACCAGAATTACACTGTAGACTGGTTCTTGTTCCTTACTCTTTTTCTAAACTACCTTTTAGCATGTAAGATAACTTTTTAAGGGCACCCAAATTATACCTGGTTTATCCATTATTGTCTATTGTACTGTGACATTGATATTTCTGTAAACTTATCACTGAGGTGAACCCAGACACTTTGGAATACTAGAGTGGTACAGAAGAATTTTTACCATTGTGATCTGGTCTTGTCTAATGTCTGTACTAATAAATTCCCAGTACTGTTTTTTTTTCTTTCTCTTTTTAAAGTAAAGCTGTAGTCACAAGAACAGCAAATTCTTTCAAGGAAGAGGTGAAGGATATATGTGAAAAATCAAACCTTTAATATTAGAGATAATATTATTACGTGTCAGAATTTGGTCGTATTGTTAGTTAATTGCTAAAAATCCATTTGTACAATCTGTTGTTACAGACAGTTGATCAAATACTGAGGGCTCTGAGTCCAGTTAGGTTTTAATTGAAGAACAACAAGCTCTAGAACCTATGACTTTACCTATGTTTTAAATCATCGGTATTCATATGTTTGGGAGCACACTCCTTGATGCCAGTAGCTGATAACTAGAATCTCCTCAGCTTTTATAAAACACAGGCCTTCAAAAGTGAAGGCAGGCATTTTCTGTTAAGGGTGAAGTGTTATCCAGAAGCTGTGTTGTTGGTTCTCAAGCTCATATATCAGCTCTAAAAATATTTGGAAGGCCTGTTTCTACAGAGGCTGAGAGTACTTTTGTTAATTGCTGAGCTAGCTGTAATTAAAGAAGACATCATAAGAAAAAAGGACAATGTTAAATTAATTTTAGGAACTACATATATCCTAAAGTCACTGAAAAAGAGATTTCCTTTTAAAGTACTGTTATCTAACTTGTAGGATTGCTTAGCGTTTTTAAGTGTAATGAGGTTCTTGTACAAGAGTTTCATCCCCTAGAAAAATATACTGCTCAATTTTTTTTTCTTCATGTTATAGATGAACATAGGTATGAAATCTACAAAAGGAGAATTTTACAGGGAAAATCGGTCCCCCATTATGCATCAATAGAGCCAGGTGGAGATGGTCTAATGATTATATCCTACAAACCATTCAAATTTGTACAAGAAAAGGAAGAAATTTTAGAAGAAAATGACGATAAGAAAACAACAAATGAAAAGAAAGGTAAACCTTATTTGACAGTTTATGATAGATTGCTCTCTGTTCTGGCTAAGAAAAGAGCTTGTTTGGAAATCCTAGTAGATGTTAGTCTTAATATCTGCCTGAAATGTTTTTTTTTTTTTCTTGATCCATTTATTTATTTCTTTATTTTATGAACAGATGGACTTTAATGCGTTTGTCTTCTTCCTGGAAAGTTATATTGTGCATAAGCCTAGGTGGGAAACAGTTGACAAAGGAGGCACATAAAGAATTTCTTTGACCCAAGGATAAAGGCATTTTGCCAAGAGACTGTACTGATTATTTGCTAATAGTTGAGATGTTTAGACAAAAGTTAGGCTGCCTAAATTCAAGGATCTAGCTGAAGTACTCAAATGAAGAAATCAGTTTTCGTAGATAAAACAAGGGGATGACACCCAAACAGTTGAGAGTGAAGCTCCCGCAAGGAGTTGTTCAGCAGTTTAGAAAAAAATAACTGACATCAACAAAAGACTACTTTTCTTCTGTTAAACCAGAGCAAAATGAACAAACTTAAATTTTAATCCTAAATGTCACTCAGCTCTGTAATATGGATATCTGTGTTGCTGCACTATTTCCAATTTGATTTTTGTTTCTGATTATGAGAGGTTGGTTACTGAACCTATTTTAACTGAATAATACTAGCACAATACCAGCTCCAAACAGAGTTCACTTAATGCGTATGGGTGCACATCTGTTGTTTCCCAACTCAGGAAGGCCATCTGTGATGCGTGGAGCTGCGATATCTTAAGAGATCTTATGATGGCACAGAAATGTAATGTCAGAGAAAGTAGTGAAACCTGAACTTCGATTTCAGGAGGAAGTCTAATTCCTCTTTAAGAAAGAGTTTGTCTTTTCAGAAACCTAGTGTAGGCTGTCGTTTCAGTTGCACGGTTCTATAGAACTGCAAGCAAAATAGATACCAAATAATGAAACGAAATGCACTGGCAGTAGAACTCTGATTTTTAGAAGAGCTTACAACAGTATATGAACTGTTAAGGTGGTTATGTTACTCACTGTCATTTTGGCTTTTCCCTTTGTTCTTTTGTGTTCTGCCCTGTACGTGCTTTATTGCTAATCAGGTTATCTAGAAGGTAGTGCAAAGGGAAAAAAAAAAGTCGAGGACATTTGGTTTGGTCTCATTCTTTTTTCTTATTAATTAAGACCAGATACAGTCTGTATCAAATGTAAGAATTTTAAGGACTGTCACATCTCATCTTAACAGTTTCTGTGAATCGTATTTGTATCATTTGTGACTATTCTACTTCAGACAGGAAACTCATGGTGACAGGTGTAAGAGCACTTCCAGAGCTTCAGCTGCTGACATGGTCAACCAAATATTGAACTGTGACAATGTGGAGAACTTCTAAAGCATTTCAGAAAATGAGTCCATCCAAACTTTATTTCTCCTCTAAATCTCAGGGAAATTTTAAAAGAAAATAAATACACTTGTAGTTATGTTTTCCGTGGGTATATTTTCACTACTCAATCATGCTGTCACAGCCTTCTTTATGGAACAGAATAATTTCAGTTGGAAAGCACCTACAAAAATCTCCAAGTCCAACTGTCAGGAGTACTTTGGGGCCAGTCCAAAGTTAAAAAGTATTAGGAGCATTACTGAAATGCTTCCTAAATATGGGCAGCCACAGGGCAGCAGCCACCTCTCTAGGAAGCCTGTTCCCATGTCTTACTACCCTCTCAGTAAAAAGTTTTTCCTAATTCTTAGTGCAGCTTTGAGGCACTCCCATCTGTCCTGACACGAGATGAGCACCTCTCCACTTGCCATTCTCAGGAAGTTGTAGAGAGCAGTGAGGTGACCCCTCAACCTTCTTTTTTCTCCAGGCTTAACAAACTCAGCGTCCTCAACCACTCCTGATTGAACACATCCTCTAGACTTTAACCACCTTTTTTGCTTTCCTGTTTAAGTATTTTTCATAGAAAGGCAGTTTTTCTAGAAGTTTAATAATTAAGATAGGCATCGGGCAGATTGTAGACCCTGAAGCAAAATTCAGTTATTACCTCTTGGCAGGCAATTCTATTTCATCTTTGTCAAGTGAGGCAAATGAAGACTGTTTGGTCTTTTAAAACCATTTCTGTTTAATAGTCAGTGTGACTTCTGGCAAAATAGATGAGGGAAAAATGTTCATGTTTCTGAATAGCTTATATCCCTGAGTATGGAGTAGCTTGTCATAACTATCATAGTACTGGTGTCTCTTTGAGTTATTGATCACTAATGCTTCAGTGTACTGAAATACACTTCAGATATCAATTTCATAAGGCCGCAATAACTGTAGAGTAATATCTAATGTCCATTTGATAACTCCATCAACATATTTGAGTACAGACGTTAACAGAAGTTGTTTTCTAGATAAGTGACACAAATTAACTTGATTGTTTAAAAAGAAGTTTCTGTCTAATAAGCAGGATGTATTTTAAGAAAATTGTTTGCAATAGAAGTTAATCTCCATTCTTTCCCAAGTCTCAGTTCTGTCTCATCCAGCGTTACATGCTGTAGAATCTAGGACAGTTTTAATGTAGATGGTATTTTGCTGTGTGTTTTCAATTGTAGATCCTCTCTATTACTGGCAACAGACTGAAGATGATCTGACAATAACAGTTCACATTCCTCAGGACGTCACTAAGGATGACATAAAAGTACACTTTTCCCCTGACAACATATGTGTTACATTGAAAGACCAGCCTGCTTTGATGGAAGGAAAATTATATTCATCTGTGGACCATGAAAGCTGCACTTGGATAATTAAAGAGAACAAAAGGTGTTGTATATGATTTTAAGGTTTACTATTGCTAGGAATTGATTTCAAAGTGTATATCATATCTGGCTTCTGGGCCTCCTGGGAATTGAGTTATTTATTGCTAGACACTGAGCTTGTCCTTTCCGGCATTTACCTCCTCTGCTGAAAATTGCTCGCTGGCTTCTGCAGTTCTGTCTCAGTTCTGTTCCTTTAGCTCGTTATGAAAGTAATTCCTTCTTATAGTTACTTATTTACAAAGTTACATGACAAGCTGTTTTATACAGTGGCATAGAACAGCATTTTCAAACTGAAAAAATCTATTAAAAAAAAGTTGTATGTATAACTGTCTTCCATATTGTCCTGGTTTCAAAGCAGGAAATTCAAGGCTTTCCACAAGCATGAGTGTGTTTTATTTGTTTTATTTGGCTTTGAGAAATCACTTGTACTTCTTCTGGGTTTGTCTGTATTTTTGTTTTTAATAAATATTTTCAGTTAATATAGTTTATTTTTTATAAGGTGAATTCTAATTGTTTCTGTTGTATGGTTTTCTGTAACAATTCAGTTCTCAAATCTACATTCAGAGCTTTTTTTTGACTGCCATCTGAAAAAGATTCATGTATTACTTGTTGGCTTCTGTTTGCATTTTAGCTTGGAAATTTTTCTAATTAAGAAAAATGAGGGACCACGATGGCCAGAGCTAATAGTTGGTGACACAAAAGGGGAATTTGTTATGGATTCTTCCCAGTGCGCTGAAATAAGTGAGTCTCTGATGCATCTGACTTCTGAAGTAATGGTAAGAAGTTGAAAATAAAACATTTAACATATTTGCATATTTGTGTATTATTTTTTTCTCGATATCCAAGTGACGTAGCTCTTCAGTTCATTTACTGTTCAGAATCCTAGACTACATTCAATTTTGTCTGAGATTGTTAACAAACTAATGGCACTGGAGTTACGACTGTGTTCTGAACTGTAATATGGTCACAGGGGACTGAATTTAGCATACATAATAGTGTCTCTGCACCAAAATATAGAAGTCTGATTAAATTGAAAAACAGATTTTGTTCCCACCACTTGTTATGGGCCAATTTAAAAGCAGTTAATTGAAGTAATTTTTAAGGATGTCTGTTTATTGTTTGTCAGTAGATTAGCAGCAATTTTATGCTGTCTTTCTAGAGATGCTGTGCTTGCCTTACGTTGACTGAGTATAAATAACATGCTTTGCTAAGTTTTTGCTTTTTGTAAAGGCATGACTCATGAACTTTCTGGCATGTGGTTATAGAGAAAGTCTTTACTTAAAATATATTTCTTAACTGCTGTTTGTTTAATACTTAACATTTTGGTTTAATTAAGAATTGGCATTTCATCTAAAACTTGTGAACTGTGACTCTCAGGATCTTGATTTAATACTTTTGGATTACTACTTTTTTGAAGAAGGCTGGAAAATTAAAGTAAATGCTGTTTAGTGTTTAAATTGATTTCACTCCTTTCTCACATGCTATTTGTGGGCAAAATACTGTAGTGTATCTTCTGAACTTCAAATTTTTGCTTTTGCAACCTGTTTTAAGATGATTTTTGTTGCAACTTTTCAGCTCGTGTGCAGTAATTATCACATTAGAAAACAAAAATAATAAAAGCCCTGGGAAGTTTTTGTGTAAAGTAAATGTTCAGTATTTAGTTTCAGTGAAATTTGTGTTTTATATATATATATACTAAAAGCATGGATTCTTTTCAGTCATCTGAAGTGTTTATGACAATGCTGTTTACCTGAAAGCTTCTTTTCTAAAGCTTCCTGATAAGAACAATAAATCATAAAGTTTGGCAGAGGAGAGTTGAACCCCAACATTTATCCTGCTCTGTTTTAAGTCTTGCACATATATGATGCCTTTCATGTTTTCTGTCATTTAAGGAATTTTCTTTGTCATTTCTTCCTGTCAGTTTTCTTTAAACTTAGGTTGTCAAAGTATTCAAATGCAAGGAAACAAACACACAAAAATAACCCCTGTGCTGAGCTCCTTTTACTTTGTGTACTGATTCAAAATGAAAGTTCTCACTAATCAACTGAATGGATGCAGAAATGACCACATGAATTCAAGAGCTCCATGTCAGATGAACTGAGCATTAGTGCCCTGTCTAATCTTTCTTTGTACATTGTTTGGCCTCAACTTCCAGACTATACTAGCTGCCAAAATGCTGTCATTTTTCTTGTTTGAGAAGCAACATTAATTCATAATTAATAAGAAAGTGTATATTTGTGTCCTCTGTTAAATATATATATATACAGAGAGAGAGAGACTCAGATACTAAGTATACTTACATGAACTTTTCTTTCAGAATCCAGATCCTGAAAAGGAAAATCCACCTTGTAATGCACAAGAATTAGAAGAATGTGATGCTTTTCTTGAAGATGGCGCAAGTTTGTGCAGATTTGATGGCAATACCTTGAAGGTTACTCATGTAGTAAGTGCTGCAAATTATTACTGAAATACTTTAAAATATTCATTTTCTGATATGAAAGGTGAATTCTTTTATCAGAACAAATCCTTGAAATCACATATATGATGGCTGAAACACACCACCCACTGTCTCACTGTGCTCACATCCACTGTTTGGTCTCCATAAATCATAGAATCATAGAAATCACCAAGGTTGGAAAAGACCTAAAAGACCATCCAGTCCAACCGTTTACCTATTCCCAGTAGCTCCCACTAAACCATGTCCCTCAACACAACATCCAGTCTTTCCTTGAACACGCCCAGGCTCGGTGACTCCACCACCTCCCTGGGCAGTCCATTCCAGTGCCTGACCACCCTTTCTGAAAAGTAATACTTCCTAATGTCCAGGATGCTCAGCTAGCTTTGATTAATGCCACTGGGTTCCATTTTTCCTACGTGGAGGAATTCAGAGATACACCTTTGCTTAATACCCATTTCCATGTCAGACACCATTTTGTCAGACTGCCCCTCTGCTTCCATCTGTCACGCAGCAACAACATGTAAGGGGATATTGGGGGGAAGGTTCAGCCTCTACTGCTGTACCACCAGCATTTGCTTATAACATTGTGCGCTGACGCTGTAAAGTAGGAAGCATTACTTTCAATTTTGATATAATAAGGAGGCTGCTATTACTGTAATTTTAGATATGTATATATACTTTCACAAACAAGCTGATTGAAAAAGCAAAGTTATGCCAAAATAATGATAAAACGGAGTCCTTTCAGGAGCGTAGAATTCTTGCTTGTTCCGTACCTGGTATTTTTCTCAGTAACTTTTCATATAGCCTAATAGAAAGTTGCATTTTTTTGCTAAGTTACTACCTTACTGTAGTTCAGTTAGAACTTGATCTGGTCTGTTGCTGAAAGGAAGAAACAAAATAGTCATCTGAGAACACTGCAAGTTAAGTTGAGATTTTTTCCATTCATTTGTTTTTTCAAGATGCCTCTACTAAACTTTTTTCCAAGATGTCTCTAAGCACTGGTGTTGCAACTCATTGCTACCTTGTGTCATTTAAAGTATGTTTAGAACAACATCCTCTGTTGTACAGAAAATGTCGTGGGTACAGAATAAGATTCTGAATCTAATTTCACTTTTCTTCATAAAACTCTAGAAAAATTGTTGAGGATACATCTTACAGACTGTGGTTTTAAGTAACCTTCCTCAATTTCTACATCTGAAAAGATGTGTGCTCGCTACTTTATGAGATAGTAGAAAGTTTGACACACCAGTACTACGCAGACTTTTTATTTTCACATGCAAAATTAGTTATTGCAGCAAGCTCAGTATCCTTAAAAACTATTATTACTCTTTCATACTCTTCTATATGTTTCATTTGTTAATTAATAAAATTAGTAATGTTGAATGCAAAGTATGTCTTTATTGATAATCTGTTTCTGTACATGTAAGAGAATATTTTGGAATTTAGGCTGGGAAATCAGAGTATTGTAGTATTCAGCCTGTACATCAGTTTTCCAAATCTGCTTTTTGATAAGCAGGTGTCCTTAAGGGTTATTTGTGTCACAGAGAAGGAATTTTTGCTTCCTCATTTGTCCACTAATTGTAGTATTTAGTTTGAAGGTAATTGGGATAGGTAGCTATGCTTGTCTTGCCTTTCTTACAATCATTCCTTGTGAATATAAGTGCTTATTGAATGTTATTGTCAATCTAGATATGTTTGATGAATGAGGTGCTGATCTGAAATTTAGTAACTGATTGTGAGCAAATAGAAAACTGTTGACATTTCTTAATTTTAGTATTCTAATTATTTTTCCAGTGCTATCAACTTCTTTTTTCTTTTTTTTTCTTTTTTCTTTCTGTTTTTTGCATAGAGACACTATTTCCTTCTCTCTTGGCGATGCAGAAAAACAGTGATTAAAGAGAGAATTAAAAGTTGTAGGTTAGGGTCCTCCTTCCTAGAAAGCATTTCTACACAAAACACTCCTGTTTGCTTGCATAATGGACATAATGTTTCCTTAATTGTTATCCCAAGCAACAACTACATGTGTTAGAAGTGTGTTTGCCACCTGTAGTGTATTGGACTGTTGATCAGCATAATGTGTTCAAACATTTTATCAGCTAGCAAACATTAAGCTGCTGAATAAGTAACTCTGGCAATGCATGTGACAGAATCTGCTATTCATGCTTTGAATCAATATTTTGCTTTTCTTTGTTTTCAGATTAATCTTGGAAGCAATCAGTATCTTTTCTCAGTTGTTGCGGATCCCAAAGAAATGCCTTGTTTCTGCCTGAGACATGATGTTGATGCTCTTCTCTGGCAGCCCCACTCTGATCAGCCACAAAACATGTGGGAACACATTGCAACTTTTAATGCTTTAGGTAGGAAGTTGTCATATGGGTCATACTCTTCTGAGACATTCTGTTTGAATATTTAGTATGGCTTGTGTTGATATTTCACTTAATTAAATTTGAAGTAAAAGTTACTGCAATTCTGTCATGTAATAGAATGCTAGCTTAATTTTAGAAAGAGCAGAACATCAGAGGTGTTTGGGGAAAACAAGAGTATTCAGACTGTGCAAGCACTGTACTGCACAGTAATAAAGGAGAGCTCCTTGGATAAATGATGTAGATTTAAGGATTTGTGAAAGCACGGTCAGCACCTTAGACACAGAAATAATCTGGGAAACATCTTCAGTTCATTGATGACACGTCTAGTTTTGTATGTGCTTATGGTAAGTGGTCATTAGAATTTTCCCATGTTGTTGTCTTGGGTGATAAGCCTGAACAATTTGAAATGATTGTTTAGTGTTTATTCATATAGTTATGAACATCCAATTATGTTGGTGCTCAGCAGGTTCAAAAGAAACTAAAAGAACTATTTCGCATAGGCATCTTTATGCTAGGAAACCTTCTGCCATAAAACTTTGTGGATGGGGAAATCATAAATTAAAAAAAAAATAAAATCAATCATGATAGGAAGGATCAATTGAGAGCATAACAGTGCCAGCTCTGGTTCAAGAAGCGCCTGAACTTTGAGGTTACAGTGTGTCAGAAACACAGAAAAATGTGACTATGAAGAACCCTCAGTTACTGCTGTATCCTTGCACTCACACTTAGGAATTTTGTTTTAGCCATTGTTGGAAGCAGAAATAATAAGCTTAAAAGCAGAACATATTGAATATGTATAGATAGAAAAGTAATAATTGCTGTATCAGAGAAAGCAAAATAATCTGCCTGGCCGTGTGCTGTACCTATTAAATAATGGAGATAATCAAATTTCGTTTAAATTAATCCAGTGCAGAATTTGTCTGCTGTGACAATTACAGTCTTCATCTTCTCTAGGTGTGGTCTTGAGCTGTTCTTTTAATAATGTTGTGAGTGTGCCAATTAGTTCCCTCCATCCCCTAGATGTATTTTTTTTTTACCTCATCACTGTTAGATTGCATCTAAAACTAAAGGGAAGATAAGCTGTTTAATTAGGTAATTGGATTGGTTCTGGGTTTTTGCAATGTATTTTTGCAATGTATATATGAGCAATTTTTTAAAGTAGCATGTTATTTTCACTTAAGGCCATATTAAGCTCTAAATATTTTACTTTTATTACAGAAGAGTTTAATTTCACAGTTTATTCTTTGTTTACTTGTTTTGAATTGCATTATACTGGAAAAATTAGATGATAAGGACTAAGGCTTTTTCATAGTATTGCTTGTTTCAAGTTTCTATCTAATTTTAAGTAATGTTCTCACGATGTTTTTCTATTGTTTTGAATATAATTATATATTTGAGCTTTTTGTACCCATGGTGGTTTTTTTTTTATCTTTATCCCTATTTACAGTCATTCTTCTGTATTATATTGAAGTTTACTAACTAGATTACTTTGTACTAAACTAGTTTGCCTCTTATATGCCAAAGATGATGTAAACTATCAGCTTGTTTATCTGCAACCAAGTTTTGAAGTGCTTCGCAAGAGCTAATACTAAAAATGAATATTTTCTATGTTAAAATTCCAAAACTTACATTATTAATTGTAGTAGCCAAAACGGTAGTAACGCTCTTTTCTGTTTTAGTTTTTTGATTTTCAGAATTCATTTTTTAATTAGCAATGCAAAGAAGATGAATGATTTATTTTATTTATTTATTTATTTATTTTCTCAGTCCAAGTTTTAGACAGAAACTTAAGAAGGAACCAAAGGGAAACCTAAAGGATCAAGTATTTTTTTGCTCCAGATATCTGTTCTGTCAACTTTCTCTTGAAAAGGGAGTAAGGTTTGAATAGGCATTTGGCTGATTACAAGTAAATTCTAATCATCTAGTACAGTTTGAAGGAGCAGTGATTGATCTTGCCCCTTGTTACTGCATTTTGTTGAAGGAGCCTCTATGGATCATTTTGAGACAGCTGACCCATCTCAAGTTCTTGTGCGCCCTAAACCGACTAGATATGTGGGGCAAAGAGTTGAAAAAAGATTACAGTGCAGGCACTGCTTGGCTGTAGACAAACCAGTTGTGTATTACTAAACCTATTTTAGTCAGAAATTCAAAATTTTCTTCGTAATTGCCTGTTATTTTTGAAGCTAAGCTTGATTTTGACAGATATTTAAAGTGTTAATGAGGCCACTGTATCACATTTCTCGTTCTGTCTTTCCGATCTGAGCAGGTTATGTTCAAGCATCAAAACAAGACAAGAAGTTCATGGCTTGTGCCCCAGACTACTCTTATGCTGCCCTTTGCGAGTGCTTGCGGCGAATTTTCATCTATCGCCAGCCAACTCCTCTGTCCACAGTTCTCTACAACAGGAAGGAAGGAAGACAAGTAGGACAGGTTGCTAAGCAGCTAGTAACAACTCTGGAAGCCAACAATCCAATCTTAGGCTTTCAGGCTACAAATGAAAGGTTATTTGTTCTCACAACAAAAACCTTGTTTTTGATAAAAGTGAATGCTGGAAATTAATTAGTATATTTTGCTGTAGTTCATGTTTATTTGTTAAAGAAATGGCCAGGTAAATAATCTGAGGAGTTCAGTACATTTTGCTGAAGTTTAAAATAGAGATACTTTGCAGGGGAAACAGAATTTTTTCATTAGAACTTACAGGTAAGTCAGTGAGAGTTTTTCAGCTTCACTGTTGCTAAACTAAGCTTTTTTGGAGATGAATAAAAATGCCTTGCCTGCTAGCAGCTTTCTAGAGACTGCTGCTTGCATAAGAGAATAGATTTATGCATTTCTTTTTCCAGTGACCACTTGCTGGACTTCTGAAATTTGAGAACTCACTTCTGATTTTAACTAATAGTTTTACCTCTGAAAAAAGTCATCAGATAAAGAAAATACAGACTTGTGTTACAAGCATATAGTGTGCAATGTAAGGAATTGTATGTGGTTAAAAGAAAAAGTCCAAATTCACATACTGGCCAAAAAATAGTTTAACTCAAGTGGAATAATTTTATTGTATATCCAAATCAATAGTGTAAAATTCTGTGACTTACACATGTTCGTAATGGAATCTATTCACATTTTAAGAGATGCTGAAATAATTACCAGTAAAATTTTCTTGAAACTGAATAGGAGTGAATGCATTCAGTTGCTGGTGTTGATATGATTAAGAATACAGTAAGACTTTGATTCATACCATTCAATGTGTTATTTTCATTTCAAGATGTACTTAAATGACTAATTTACAATTAGGAAACAGCTAACAGAAAATGCACCTGAATTGTAACCTGAGATGGGAAAGTCAAAGGTTCAGCTGCTGCCTTAAATACCACCACAAATAATGTCACTTTTTAACTGTTCTGTACCCAGTGCATAAGTCCAGATGTGGTATGTGTCCAGTGCTATTGTGCACAGACCATGAGGATGCTTTAAAGTTGCTTTTTACCAAACAGGAGTGGATAATTTTGTTGAAAAACTGTTCTTGAATATTTTTTTCTTATTTTAAAGTGATTGTGTCAATAGAATTAAACCAAAATGGGTCAGTTTTGACAATTCCACCTCCTCTCCATTTTTATTCTCATAGTTTACTTACAGCTCTATAGCAAAGGATGTCTAATGAGTAGATTTTGTGCTGTTAAAAAAGCTGCTTTGTTCTGTGGTACCAGAGTACTGAGAAACACAGTGAGTGTCCTGGGAGTTTGCATCTGTTAATATTATTTCCGACCTCTGCAAGAATATATTGAGAAGAAAATGTCTTCTTTTTTATTACAGACTACAAAGTTCTTGATTTTAATTGTTTTCACTTGCCCATAAACTCTGCAGATTTGTATCAGTGAAATTGATTAAATGGTATGGTGGGAAGTTGAGAGGGAGATAAGCAGTTGTCGTGCAGAAGAAAAATAAAAGAAAAACCCTCCAAATTCAGCTTTCCGGGGAGCCTGATTTTTCTCCATTTTATGTCATTGTTATTTTGTATATTCATTTGTGAAAAGTTTTTTGTTATCTGGGTGTGTTAAAATGGATTCCAACTGCAGACCTTCACTTCTCATGCATTTTTGTTTAAACTGTCTTGGAAATACTTGTTAAAAAGCCTCAGTGAATGTATGACTTTTATAACTTTTGCGACTCAATTTCATGTTGAGTAATAATGCCAAACAGACATGGTAGAAATCATGTTGCAGTCCATGCAGCTGATTATTTTCCAGTATAAAATAAGTGCATTGAGATTTATATGAACATTACTTAGTAACCCTAGTATAGATGAGAATTTCAGGTCTTTATGAAATTCCTTCTTGATGTGGCATACGTTTCTGGAAACATACTTCTGTTGTCTTCTGGAACACCTGAAGCAAAGTCAAGTAAAATAATCAGCTCTTCACAGACTGTTATAATCTGTAATGACTAAAAATATGCTTCCCCAGTGTGTCCATTTCAGGGGATTTCTCATGGAACAACTGAACGTGGGGAAAGGTTCATCCCATGTTCCATGTTGCTCGTGTGTTCATGATTATGATGTTCTCAGAAAGGATTTATCAGTCTCTTTCATTTTGCTTTCTCTGTGAGTTAAGGACATAGTAAAAGATTTTCTGCCTTGAGGAACTGTGCATGCTATTGCAGAGCAAGCTGCTATAATTAAATGGCTGCAAGCCACAGGGAGACGCTTACTATCAGCATTTCCATTTCTGTGTTCAGTTAATTTTAAGGCTTATTTGTTTAGCGTATTATTGTGGGCACATACAAAGTAGAGAATTGGGATATTTAAGACACAGTTTTCTGAGAACCATTCTTTTTTTTTTTTTTTTATGAAACTTCAAGAAGTAAAATCCTACATTTTAAGATGGTGCTTTCTGAGATGTCCCAATCACAATTTGTTTACAAAATTTCTGAGAAACTATTGGACTATTAAAAACTTGTGTTATTTATTTCAGTGTACTTTTGCAGTGTTTCACTTGGCTGTGTATTTGGAATGTATCGTGTATACTTCTACAAGTTTAAACAAAAAAATACCAAATTTAATAATAAAAGTTTTTTAATTGTTTTGAAGAATTTCTGTTTCTTTCAAATGCTCATCCTTCCTATGTTATTGAAACAAAATAGAGAAATAGAAATAAGCAGTCCCTTAAAATAATACTGATTATGTTAAGGAGTTTTCTATTGAGACAAAGTTCCATGGATTGTCAGTGCTGCAGGGTCATGCTTGTTGCCAATACATGCACTGCTTCAATCTTCGTTCTTTTCTTTGAAAACTCCTGTACTGTTTTTTAATTTTTTTTTTTAATTATTATGTTGTTGTTTTTCTTCTTCCATGCATATCCCATATCTGCTAATGTACAAATTTATGGAGATAATTGCTGGAGGGTGATGATTTGTATTCTTGTCTTAAAGTGCTCATTGCATTCTCTCATCCTTTGTCTTTGGTGTGTATGTCTGTATACCAAATATCTAGATAAATGTTTCTAACTGAATTGATTTGCACATCATACCTCAACCCAAGGGCAGAGAGTGAAGAGTAGGAAGGGTTTGGTCTGTACATGTCTTATGTGAGAAAGTGGCTCTTCATTAATAAAACAACAGATGCTGAGAGAGTAGCAGATAAAATTGAAGCTTATATATATATTTTCTTCAGTTTGCTGTGCTTTGTTTCAATGATGGCTGTTATTACCACTATAACTTCTGAATTTCCTTCCTGTCTGTCAATTTACATTTTCCACTATCGTTATGCTGGCCAGAGCTTGAGCTGTGAGTGATGCTGATTGTGCCTTTATGAGAGCAGATTTAAGAATGAGAAATATGCTCTGCAACAGCAGCTAGGAGAGAGGATTGAGAAATGTGGGAGAAGCAGCCCTGCTAGCCCCCAGTATCAGTGCAGGAGGAGAGCAGGAGGTGCTCCAGGCACAAAGTAGAACATTCCTGCAGCCCAGGAGAGGCCCATGGTGGAGCAGGCTGTCTCCCTGCACCGCACAGGCATCACACAGCTGATTTCTATGCGCAAACATGCAGGAGTTGGTGATGCAGCAATGCACATGGCCTGGGGGAGATGCAGCCCATGGAGGAGCCCATGGTGAGACAGGAGGACTGGGGGAGCTGCCGCCTGTGAGGAGCAGCGCTGGAGCAGTCTGCTCCTAAAGGATGGGCCCTGTGGTATGGACTCGCATTGGAGCAGTGCTTGAAGAACTGCAGCCAGCCTCTAGGAAGGATCAATTCAGGAAAGATGACACGATCTAGTCATTCTATGATCACCTATGATCTAGTCCTTCTACGATCTCCTTCTATGATCTAGTGGCCATCTGGTAGATGAAGGAAAGGCTGTTGATGTAGTCTACTTAGTTTTCAGCAAGGCCTTTGACACTGTCTCCCACAGCATTCTCCTGCAGAAGCTGGCAGCCCATGGCTTGGATGGCTGGATAAGGAACTGGCTGGAAGGCCTGGGCCCAGAGAGTGGTGGTGAATGGAGCCAAATCCAGCTGGCGACAAGTAGTGTTCCCCAGGGGTTGGTGCTGGGGCCTGTCCTCTCCAATATCTTCATTGATGACCTGGATGAAGGCATTGAGTGCACCCTCAGTAAGTTTATGGATGACACCAAGTTGGCTGGAAGTGTGGATCTGCCTGGGGATAGCGAGGCCCTACAGAGGGATCTGGACAGGCTAGAGAGCTGGGCTGAAGCCAATGGGATGAGGTTCAATAAGACCAAATGCAGGGTCCTGCACTTTGGCCACAACAACCCCAGGCGATGCTGCAGGCTTGGGGCGGTGTGGCTGGAAGACTGCGTAGAGGAAATGGACCTGGGGGTATTGACTGATGCTCGACTGAACATGAGCCAACAGTGTGCCCAGGTGGCCAAGAAGGCCAATGGCGTCCTGGCTTGCATCAGGAATGGTGTTGCCAGCAGGAGCAGGGCAGTGATTGTTCCCCTGTACTCAGCTCTAGTGAGGCCGCACCTCGAGTTCTGTGTCCAGTTTTGGGCCCCTCACTGCAAGAAAGACATTGAGGCCCTGGAATGTGTTCAAAGGAGGGCAACAAAGCTGGTGAGGGGTCTGGAACACAGGGCTTATGAGGAGCGGCTGAAAGAGCTGGGATTATTCAGTCTGGAGAAGAGGAGGCTCAGGGCAGACCTCATTGCTCTCTATAACTACCTGAAGGGAGGTTGTAGTGAGCTGGGGGTCGGCCTCTTCTCTCGTGTAACTGGTGATAGGACCAGAGGGAATGGCTTCAAGCTACAGTAGGGGAGATTCAGACTGGATGTTAGGAAATACTTCTCTGAAAGAGTGGTCAGGAGCTGGAATGGGCTGCCCAGGGAGGTGGTGGAGTCACTGACCCTGGATGTTCAAGGAACATTTGGACATTGTGTTGAGGGACATGGTTTAGTGGGTACTAATGGTGATGGGTGGATGGTTGGACTGGATGATCTTGAAGGTCTTTGGTGATTCTATGATTCTGTGACATCCTGCGGGAGGGACCTCATACTAGGCATACTAAGCGGCTGTGGAAGAAGAGACAGAGATGAAATGTTACAGCCTGACTGCAACTCCCGATCCCTTGTGCTGCTCAGGAGGAGAGAGAAGAGAGTAGTACTGTATTACAATCTCTTATGGTTATATTCCTTGAAGTTTGAACCCTCATGCCATGGGGATGTCAGTGCATTGGTTGTTTGCTCTGTTCGTGTCTCCTTGATATTCAATCAATCAGAAAGTTAAAAAAAAAAAAGAAAAGAAAAGAAAAGAAAAAAAGTGAATTTAGCACTTTTGAATGGGGTCACCATGTCTGTTTTTATGGCAGCAGCCTCTGAGCTCCATGTTTAAAACACTGGAAGGTCTCCAGTGCTGAAGCTACGGGAGCTACTTACCACAAAATTTCATGCCTACGTAGCTTTGAGTGTTCCAGCTCAGTTATCTAATGTTAATACATCTCGATTTTCTATGGTAAGGAAAATAAATGAACTTGCTAACTGACTTTTATGTCCTTCTCGTATTGTGGTGCACACAGTGCCCAAGGTGAAGCTGCACAGTGCAGAACAGAGTGGGACAGCCCCCTCCAAAGCTCTGTCTTTCTCAAGTGGCATTGCAGAATTCCTGTAGTTAAGAACAGATGGGCAGCAGTGCTTGTGTGTCCCCCATGTGTGTCCCCCATGTCTAATGCTCTACCTGTGGGCAGCCATGACACTGGTGGGAGGCAGCACTGCTTTCCTTCCTGGCCACCATCTTGTTGTAGGGCCCCACTGGTTTTTTTTGTTTGTGGTGTTTTTTTTTTCTCCATTAAAATACTTGAGAGAAAACAGGATGTATGAATGCTGACAACGTTCACAGAAAGAGGGTATATTTTAAATAAATTGAGTATCATATGTGTTTGTATGTATGAAAGTGTGCACAGAAGTTGAGGAGAGAAACAAGCCATATGGCAGTGGGTTACAAGTGGCTGCACTGCTTAGGGAAATTAGTAACTCCAACCATTGATATACGTGTGCCTACCAGAATTCAGATGTTCATATGCTGGTGCTTCAAGAAGCCAGGCAGAGAAATAAATAACCATTCAAAAGACAAAAAACTAACCAGCATCCAGATGAAATATATATATATATATATCAGAGAATAAACCTTTAAAAATGACTTAAAAAAAAAAAAAGTCTGAACTTCTACTAAGAGTCTGAAATATGTTGCCGTTAGCTGCTTCAAAAGCATCTGTCTTCTGATGCTTACAGATTTTTTCACACTCTAAAAACATCCCATTAATATCAATATAGCTTCTGTTATTACTGAAGCAGAGTTGAAGATTCTTAGGAGCCATCACTCTTAACTGTTGACTTCAAAATACTTGCTTTCTCTCTTCATAAAAGGGAGAAGCACATTTATAGTACAAAATGCCTTCCTCCCTCTTCCTTCCCATGTGTCTTTTCTTTGGCAGAAACACATTCTTCTTTCAGAAAAGAAATGTAGTGGAAGCCTTGCATGCAGGGATATTAGAAGCAAAGTTTTGTGTAGCTTTCTCTTCAGGACACCTACTCCAGGAGCAGGGGGTTGGTCAAAAGATTACTGGGTCTGGATTTAGGCATTCTGCAAGCAAGCAATATTTTTTTCACTTTGAAGCAGAAGTAGATTGAAAGCTTATTCTCTCTTTGTCAGTAAGGATTCTGTGGTGGCTGGTTTCCCTGGAACCCTGTAAAATTAGTCTCAGCAGGCACCTGCTGAGGGGTCCAGCCAACTCTGCTATTGGAGCTTATGTTCTCTCCATGGTTAATGTTGGAACTGCTTGTTACAGCCCTGAGGTGGGAGCTGGATGGGGAATATTACAACAGCGCATAAATGCCCTGGCCTGGCAAAGCTGTGTGACAGTATGCTGGTTTTCACTTCAACCAAGGGCTGTTTGCCATGGCCTGCATGAGTTGGATTTTTTAATATTGTTTTTTACTAGGAAAAGAAAAGAAAAAAAAACATACATAGTAAGTAGTAACTATATGTCAAATTGTTTATTTAGATTTATTCTGAAAGAATATTAAAAATCCCATTGTATTAATGTCAGAGCAGTATCACTTGATTTATATGAAAATATGGTAAGATTCTAGATAAACAAAATTAACTTACTACCAGAGGCATTCAGTGTCTCCAGGAACCCAAACAAGCAGTTTCAGTAAGTGCATCAGTGAGTTATCAGAGAAATTAAAATTACTTCCCCTATGTAGCATTAGCCAAAGGTAGGGACTGACATGGGAGGCCCTTGCTGGCCCCTTGCAGCCTGAAAGGCAACCTAGAAGTGCTCCAGCCAGCTTCTTTTGTACCTCTGAAAGCAAAAGCCTATGATTTATAAACTCTTGTCTCCACCTTTCAACATCCTTCATCAACAAGGTAAATGGAAGTAAGGCCAATGAAGACTGAGTGTCCTATATTTTCGTCCACGTGTTTCTCTTCTGGCAAAGAAATAACCCTGGCTTCTCTAAATCCATGGTAACACATTTCAGAGAAAACTCTGTTATTCAACACTGCAATATGCTAAGAGATTTATGGTTTAATTGCTTTATTTTTACATAAGCTTGTATTTTGTAATTCATAGTT